TCAGTCTCAACCCTGCTACATTTTACTTTTGATTACAAAGCCTGTAGGGCAGTATTCATGCCACCTTTTAAAATCGAAAGAATTCTGCGTTTTCAGCTCTATGACTTCAAAGCTGTTTGATGATGGACAGTAGAGCTACATTTTGTTCATTTGTGTTTGTCTGTCACCTGCCTCTATATCCTTACAGCCTGTAGCTTGGGACCATATTTTGAGTGTAGTGAGCACTCAAGCGGTCTTTGTTCACAACATTTCAATACAGTTCTGAAACTGTCCACTTGGCATTTGCAGCAGGCGAGTTAGAGGACTCAGTCCCCCAAGACTGTGCCCACTGCAAACACCATCCCAGTCATCTGCTCTCTGACAGCCCAGCTGTGACTTGAACTTTCCCACAACCCTTCCTCAGGTTCAGCGATTCACTGGAATGACTCACAGACCCTAGGAAAGGCTTTTACTTAGCACTACGGCAGCAGTAGCAAAGAGTACAACTTAGGAAGAGCCAAATATAAGTGAGGCATCGCACAGGGTTGGCACAGGAGGGACGGAGACATGATCCCAGCACCTCCACGTGCTCACCAGCCAAGAAGCTCCAGCACCCCATCATTTAGGGTTCTTTCGATGCTCCATTGTCAGTCACTGGCCAGTGGTGATTAGTTCAATGTCCAGCCTGTCTCCCATCACTGGAGGTTAGGAGGGGGCCAGGAAGTTCACCTCTGATCGCACGGTCAGCTCCTCTGGCAGTCAACCCCCATCCTAAAGCTGCCCAGGGGTTAGGAGTCTTCCAGAAACTACCTAACTGACATAAACACAGATGAGACTGAGGGAGCTTTCATCTCCCTGTTACTCAGGGAATTCCAAGGGTTTTTAAAGTTCATTGTCAGAAACTGAGGATACAGACCAAATATATCTCTCAGTATATCACAATACTTACTACGAATCTATGAATAAACACATTTTCATAAATTTTTATAAGTCATAGGCTCTCCTGTCTGTCTCTAAGATTATATGACTCTTTAGAATGTAAGAGAAAGAATACATTTTATATTGTCACATTTAACTCCTAATTTCACATGGAAGTTATCAGTATTAGAAATTTACAAACGGACCCATTTTTATGTGTTTATGAAGCAGTATTAGTCATTGTAAGCTGTTAATTTCCATGTCATTATGGCTTTACCCTTCATAGCAATCTCCTGAGGAAAATACCACTGTTATCCTACTTTACAGATGGTCAAACCGAGGCACAGGGACACAAAAAACTCTTAGAGCCAGTGTTCTGCACACAGCTCTGCTCTTAACCACTGTTTACTGCCTTGAAATCCCAATGGACAGTTGGTGGAAATCATAGTTTCTCATTAAATTATATTGAAACAGTGAGAGTCTTAGTGGTAAGACACACTGCCTTTTCATAGCCATCATGATCATTTGCAGTGTTAGTACTTGTAATAGTGGTTCAGTTGTCTTTAACTCTAAGTAGTGATACCAAGTGGCAGAGCATACCCTGAGTTCAAACCCCAGTGCTGCCAAAAAAAAAACTAAATTTCTTCAGTGTTTCCATGTCTATAAAAGATTTATTCATAGCATAGTGAGTCGGGATGGAGCAGATCATTGCATTAATAAGCAGCCCCTAAAGGTCGGTGATGCATGAAGACAAGTGTGATCTCATATGCTTACGTTACTTTGTGTGATATTATTTATGTAAAGTAACCACACAGCGCCTACCAAATCACAGGTGTTCAGGAACTGTTTTCATTTTTAGTAGCAGTTAAGATTATCATATGGTCCTAAGTAGGCAGTAATTTTGATATTATGTAATATTCTTAACATCCTGGGAAAACGTACTGCCAGTGATCTAACTGGGTTGAATGTACAACTAGTTGATATATTCTTAGATATAGCCTTTATTACATCATTGTCAAGATAAATACTTTGTAGTCAGAGTTACTTTAATAGTTTCACTAAGGACTTGAATGATATAGTGGAAATTCACTCAAACTTGCATAATGTCTATATGTTATCAGGAAATTGCTTAAAAATGTTTAAGCTTTGATTTCTTCACTGATAAAATAGGACCATAATATCCATCCTGCTCAACTCTCAATTAAGACGAAAGCAACAAGACCATCTACGGGCTCTGTAGTGGTCAGTGTAAGTTCTGTTATGATGATAGATAGATAGATAGATAGATAGATAGATAGATAGATAGATAGATAGAGTAGGTGGGTAGATAGATAGGCAGATTGGTAGGTAGGTAGATAAACAGACAAGTAGGTGGGTAGATAGGTAGGTAGGTGGGTAGGCAGACAGACAAGTAGAAAGGTAGATAGGTAGGTAGACAGACAGACAGGTAGATAGGTAGGAAGATAAGTAGGTGGGTAGGTAGACAGGTAGGTGGGTAGGTAGACAGACAAGTAGAAAGGTAGCTAGGTAGGTAGACAGACAGACAGGTAGATAGGTAGGAAGATAAGTAGGTGGGTAGGTAGACAGGTAGGTAGGTGGGTAGATAGGTAGACAGACAGATAGACAGTTAGATAGGTAGGTAGTTGGACAGGTAAGTGGGTAAACAGATGGATATTCCTCTTCTTTAGTCTCAAGGCTACATAGAAATAGTGAGCAAGGTACAAGTGACTGGATCCATTTAATGACATGCACTGTAAGGAGCTGTGCAGGAGGAATCTGTATCTGCCTAATGAAAGGGTGGATCTGTGGGGCCTTGACACACGTGTGTGTTAAAAACAAATGGTCATGGGGTTAAATGCTTAGTCGGGCACAAAGCATTCTGAGTGGTGATTCCAGAACTCAGAAGACTGAGGAAAGATGATTTGAGAGTTCCAAGCCAACTCTGGGCTATGAGTCCCCCCTCCACCCCCGCCCCCCAAAAAGAAAACTCTTATATAAAACATTTTGAAGCTGAATTCCTACAATAGAGTCAAATCCATTCATTCACCATTTTTTATAAAAAAAGTTTATATGTGTTACTGGATGGAATTTTTGTTTTTGCCTAATAGCAACAAATGAGCATATGTAACCAAAAGGAATCACGAACAGTAAAAGCAATTCCAGGTAGTTTTTATAAGACATTCTCAGAGGATTGCGTTAAGCACCAGAACAATCAGTTTTATATGTAATTGTGACTAAATCGGGGTCTTGAGGATTTTTAATTAGCTTGTGTAATATGATGATTTGGTGACATTGGAGAGGGCTCTCCTGGTCTGGCCTACCTTCATGTTACTGATGGGGACATGGAGGTCAATGAGGAAGAGAGATGCCTGGAGCAGTTGATGGTGGTGCCACCAGGGACACTGCAAACACAGTGTACAGGGTAGCTTTGCAGGTGTGTCACAATCATGGCGTTTTTCAACCTGAAAGTCACTAGAAACTCTTTGTATTTAAAGAAGCCAGTGCAGTGTGCTTAGGCTTTCTTTTGTGTTCTCCTTGTTTGCCTGGGCATGTCGATGATGATAACTAGTTTTCGTACAGCACTTTTCAATCTTCCAAGACTTTTTGTACTTTACATCCTCATCGACTCTCAGAACAACCCTGACAGGTGGAAAAATGCAGCTCTCACCCCTGTGTGAGGCTGAGGATGTTTAATGATTTGTCTGTGTTGTGTAAGTACACAGCAGAGGCAGATGTGAATATAGCCAGAATTGTGACCCCGAAGCTTCGACCTTTCTGCTGTGTCCAATTTTACACCTGGTTCGTAAATGCTTAAGGATTTTCCTAAAGGCAGATTGTTTTCAGGACACATGGTTATTTGAGGGCAGTCCGTGGCCATCCTTTTTGTCTGCTGTGGGCCAGTGTGGTAGGGCCCTGAGGCACTCCAGGAGTGTAGTTTTGCTATTTATCCAGTGATAAATTCCACCAGGATTCAAACCCAGTCATTTGTCTCCAATGCCCAACTTCCAAGTGCACCTGGAGTTGGGTCTCCTTAAAGAAGAACATACTGCGTGGTTGGAGCAAAACCACTCTTCATGTGCTGCTTGGGGACTGCACATGAGTGTGTGCATTTATATAAACAGATACCCAGCTGTCTACATGGAAATTGAGAACACACTAGCTGGTGATGTTTGAAAGCAAAGGCAGGTAAGGTAAGTCAGTAGCTGCCGGTGCCGGTGCAGTCACCAGGTGGCTGGTGATTTCTGCTTTGTAGTGATATTAACCACCGATGTGCGCTCTGCACAGACCACGTGCCACTTGCCTTCAGGGAAAATCTTTAGGGAGTGTGCTCAAAAGCTCGTGTATACAACAGGCTCCTGAAGCTTCCTCCTAACTCCATAGTTAATTAGGTGCAGTGTATTTTTTTTTGTTTAAATGTGACTTTATTCTGTTTTGTGTTTAATAATAAAAACAGAATTTAAATTTTGCTTTGAGGATTTCTTTAGGAGAATCTTTGAAACAACTCTGAAGACGGCACAGACATCTCTTAAGACTCCTCTTTTCATAGGAGGCTACTTGGAGGAGTGGTTGTGTCTGAAGCGAGTTTTTCTCCACCGCAGGTGTATGGCAAGAGCCTCGCCATGAGAGCTGTGGGCTGAAGGAGCACTCGGGGGAGACTGAGTGAGCAGGTTCCCCACTGGCTGGGCATCTGCCCAGGGCCCGGTGTGCAAGAGACTTGCACAAAAAGTTTACTCAAGGTTGGAAGTTGTGTCTAGCCCTGGGACCAACCCCTCATGGCCCTGAAGGGGGCATCCTGCCATCTCCCCTTTAACTAGAAAACATGCCGCTCTGTCCTGCCCGAAATGGGAAGTTGTAGGCATTAGTGAGAGTCCCCTGCAGGCTAAAAGTGTAAAGTTGAATTGCAGGTCCGAGGGGTCCCTACAGTCCCCATCCTGTCGCCTTCACTGTTGCGCCTCTTAGAAGTTTGGCATCTTCCAGTAAAGGTGTCAAAGGCAACATGGGCTGGCCTCTAAAACTTGACCTGCTGCTGCTGACCAGGACACACAGATGGCATTTCATTACTCAGCGTGACCTTGACAATTTTCTCTGATGTCTTTGCCTAGGTCGAACTGGAAGATACACCCTTATAGAAAAATGGAGAGACACTGAAAGACACCTAGCACCTCACGAGAACCCTGTCATCTCCTTGAACAAGTGGGGGCAGTATGCGAGCGATGTGCAGCTCATCCTGCGGCGGACGGGGCCTTCCCTCAGCGAGCGGCCCACCTCAGACAGCGTGGCGCGCATCCCCGAAAGAACCTTGTACAGGCAGAGCCTGCCCCCCTTGGCCAAACTGCGGACTCAGGTGGATAAGTCAATCAAGAGGCGGGAGCCAAAAAGGAAGTCACTGACGTTTACAGGAGGTGCCAAAGGGTTAGTGGACATTTTTGGAAAAGGTAAAGAAACAGAATTTAAGCAAAAGGTGCTGAGCAACTGCAGGACAACGGCAGGCGAGCTGAGGAAACTGGTCCGCCTGCAGACAGAGCGGCTTCAGGCCATTGAGAAGCAGCTGGAATCAAATGACATCGAAATACGGTTTTGGGAGCAAAAGTATAATTCTAACCTCGAAGAAGAAATTGTCCGCCTAGAACAAAAGATCAAAAGGAATGACGTAGAAATTGAGGAGGAAGAATTCTGGGAAAACGAGCTGCAGATCGAACAGGAAAACGAAAGGCAGTTGCTGGATCAGCTCGGAGAGATCAGGCAGAAGGTCTCCGAGTGTGAGCACAAACTGAAGGACTATGTGACCCAGATCCACGCGATGGAGAGCGGCCTCGAAGCAGAGAAGCTGGAGCAAGAGGTTCGGGTCAACGAGGAGGAGGTACAAGGCAAGATCGGCAAGGTCAGAGGGGAGCTCGACCTCCAGGGCCAGCAGAGCCTAAGGCTGGAAAACGGCATCAAAGCAGTGGAGCGGTCCCTCGGCCAGGCCACCAAGCGACTGCAGGTGAGAGTGCCTTCCAAACAGGTGCCCCCAGAACCTTCCTCTGCGGTCAGCCCCTTGTGTTTTAGGAGCCTCGTTCTGTACATTTAGAGTTGGAAGCCAAGCTTTGTTTAAATGCCTAATGGAATTCTGGTGACAAAGCTTAAATTGAGGGTGGAACAAGTGACAGCGAGCACCACACTAACCCTGCCACATGGAGAAGGCCTGTTGATTGTGCGGCGTGGCGTTGGGTGATTGGACACAGGGCCAGGGCCTCAGAGCTGGTGTGAGACTAATGATGGGGTAATGTGTCTGACTTTCTCTTCTTAAAGACAGAGTCTTACCTGTCACCTCTCCACTGTGGCCAACCCTCCTCCCCTCCCCTCCCCTCCCCTCCGCTCTCCTTTTCTCTCCTCTTCCCTCCCCTCCTCACTTTTCTCAGGAGAGGGGCACAAGGGGTCCTCTCCAGTTTCCCCTCTAGTACAGATGAAAGCACACTCTCCTTCTGTTTCGTGGGTACCTGTTATTTCTCCTGCTACAAGATAAATCTTAGTAATGGATCCTATGAAAACTTGCACAGCTTATAAAACCAGCAGCAGCTCCAAATCTCACAGGCCAGATTGCTGACAGTTTTCGGTCAGTTATGAAGTGATCAATAGGAAAGTTGGTGATTAGCCCAGCAAGCCTACTGTACCCCTGCGATACCTGAAAGTTGACAGGCATGCATGTGTTTCCTGCGAGTGGGCAGTGCTGCTCAAAGGCAGACGTCCCACTAAGAACAGAGCTGTTGTCTCCCTGTACTTGTTTTCTGGCCCACACCACCATTACACCAGGCTTGCTAGACGTCCCCTTGTGAAAGCAGGTGTTCCACATCCCACTTGTGCAATAGAGACTGTCACAGGACATCCTGCACTATCCAGTGTCAGTCCTCAGTCAAAAAGTGACAGTGGTGATTTCTGTCCCTCCAGGACAAGGAACAAGAATTGGAGCAGTTGACCAAAGAGTTACGGCAAGTCAACCTCCAGCAGTTCATCCAGCAAACAGGCACCAAAGTGACCGTCCTGCCTGCCGAACCCACGGAGATAGAGGCCTCCCAGGCAGACATCGAGAGAGGTAAGGCATTGCGGGCATGCTCCCTCCCGTTCCCCCGCCGCTAGCTGTGAGCAGACCACATGCATCCACTGCAGCGTGCCTTACAGCCCCAGCTTGCTTAGGTGGGCCACTTAAAATCAGCATGCTCCCGTTGCTGGGGAAACAGTAAACACGGAGGTTATTTATTTACTTAGTGACCTCGCAGTCGTTTTGAACTGCTTTCCTGAAGAGTACGTGAATAATACTGTATCAACTGGAATTTTAGCTTCCCTCAGTTCCTAAGTCTTTAATACTGACATTTAAAAATCCCAAATCTGCGCATGCCTGTCATCTGAACAACCAAGAAAAAGAAGCAAAAAGAAAAAAGAAGTTCACCTTCTGAAACGACCTGACTGTTCTTAGGAGCAAACATTAGCCTAGCAAGTAGACACCGTGAGAGCTCAGCAGCCTCCCCTGACGGTGCCAGTTGCTGTGTGCGGTTCTCTTTTGCGTCCTTTTTTGGTTTTTTTTGCAGTACTAGGGTTTGAACTCAGGGCCTACACCTTGAGCCGCTCCACCAGCCCTTTTTTGGGATGACTTTTTTCAAGATAGGGTCTTGACAGCTATTTCCTCGGGCTTCAAACAGTGATCCTCCTGATCTCTGCCTTCTGAGTAGGTGGGATTACAGACGTGACCACCAACGCCTGGCTCTTTCGGGTTCTTTGGGGAGGGGGAGGCTCCAGCCAGTCACCCTGCTTGCTAAGTATCCTGTGACAGGCACCCTGGTGACCTCTCTGTTTCCTGTCTAGAGGCAGCGTTCCAGTCGGGGTCCCTGAAGCGGCCCAGCTCCTCTCGGCAGCTCCCCAGTAACCTTCGTATTCTGCAGAGCCCCATCTCGTCTGGCTTTAATCCTGAGGGCATATATGTATAGCACCGTCCGTCTTTCAAGGTACCAAGGACAATAAAATAAATTCCTTCTTCATTTTGTGCCAATGATGAGCAGAGGGTCTACTTCATGAGCCACCGCATCTGTCTCCCTCCTGACCTGGACCCTCGTGGAGCCGTGCCGTGCACTGTTGCTAAGGAACACTGTCCTTGTGACAGTGTCGCCGTCTGTCCAGCAGCTGTAAAGCAAAGCCTTCGAGAGCGTTAGGAAAGCTACATGATGTGGACACATAAATAAATCATGAATCATGAGGAGTGAAAGACATGACCGGCTTAGTTTCATTTATTCCATACGATTGACTAGAGTGTTTTTGTTACTTATCCTGTGACTCAGTTGAGTTCACTTGTGTGATTCAGGCTCTGTGTGCATGTCACCAGATCCCACCCACATGCTGCCACTGACAGCCACATGAGTGTCATGTCGTGTGTCACTGTGGTGTGCTCTGCCATCAGACCAACTCCAGCCACTGCTTTCTTGGGTGAAGTCATTCAGGTTTCCTTTCCATCTGGAGTTTAATGTTTCCTCATCAGTATTTCCCAGTATACAAATAACTACATAACATCCTGGAGATATTTTTCATGAGGTAAACTACACGGAGAGGGTTGGTGCCTGTTCATGTACCGTCCAACGTCCATCCAAGCAAGCCGGGGTCCCACACATAGTGACATGTCTGCCCACCCTGCCATTTTCTCACGATCCTCAGAATTAGCACAGGAGTGGAGTTCCCAGTGTCTGAGGTCAGTGTGGCACACTTTGGGAATCTTGCTTGGAGTGACGTATTTTAAAATGCCACCTCCTGAGTGTGGTCTTCAGGTGTACACCATTCTCTCCAGTCACTTAGACAAGGGGACAGGACAGGAGTTAGGTATTTTTTACCAGGGAAATAAAGTGAAATTCACAGTATATTCTTAAGTTTGACTTTTTTAGGGTATTAATCCCCATCTATGCACATATCATTTATAAAACCAAAAATAGTCAGCATCTCCCCCATGAATAGTGAGTGACTTAGCTGAGACTCGTAAGTGATATTTAGACACAAAATACTGCCAAGCACCTCCGATCAATTTTGGAACAATATAATAGAGACTTTAGAATCATTTTTTTTTAATTCTCTGCATGATTTACATGCAACAAAATAAAAGTGGATTCCCATAGTAACTCCATAGTAACACTGTAGTGACAGTAAAGAAATGCCATATGCATGAAGGCAGCTCGAGTGTTTGAGCACGTTTGACTTGCTTTGGGTTTGACGGATGCTGAGATGCTGCTGTATGTAGGTTTGCTATGAAAATGTCAAGAGTGGCTGTGAAGACGCATAGAACCCTGGGAGTAGAATCATGCCAGGCCTCACCTTGCTGGACGTGCTGCTTTTTTGGGAGTTCTTGAGCTGATCTTGCCATTTTTCACTATTTTGCAAATGACTTGAGAAACACATGGTTTTCCCTAAAAAAAGCTCACCTTTCACACCTGCTCTCAGTTCACAAACTACTTCCTATCTGTGTGTGTTGAAAAATCCAAACTAGTTGTATGTTTTGTGACAGTGATGATTTATGAGGGCCAGCATCTGCCTTGTGTAGAGTCCCATCCCTGTATTCAGTCATTCTGTTGTTCAGAGAAACTGAGACCTTATTCACAAAGAGAAACATTTTATAAATTGATGGTATTCTATTTAAATCAAACATTACACTTCTGGTGTGTTAAGCCTCACAATTAGACATTGCGAAGATGCCACGGTGTGTTGTCGTATCTCACAGTCAACGACCAACTTTAAACAGTGACAGGTAACAGCCACCACCTGGCATGGCCCTGTTCTCCAGCTCAGTGTCACCATTCACCTCTGTGACTTTAGCAGACTTTTCGGTAGAAATTCCGTCTCCTAGATGGGCAGAGGGCACATGAGCAGCTGTACTTTTTAATCAGCTCTATTACTTCAGAAAGCACACACCTAAAGGATATTTCTAAATCTCCTTTTAAATAGAGAAAAACTAATTTCTGTAGTAACATCTTAAAATAGTTAAGCTCTTTGTGATCGTTTTTACCTATTATGACCTATTTTAGGTCAAGTGCCATGCTTGACCTCTCAGAGGGGCACAAACTATCAAATGCAAAATTTTGCATCTAGGGGAATATTCATGTTCTAAATAAATTAGATCACAAATTTTTGTGTTTTTTGTTTCATACTGCAGGTTGTTGCATTGTGGTTTTTTTTTTTTTTAACCAGTGTTAAATATACTAAAAATAGTGTTTTCTTACCAAGGAACAATTTGAAATAACATTGGTCCATTTGACCTCTGCAGTCCTCCTCCTCAGAGAATGATCACAGGGGTTCCCTCACTTCCGTTCACTTTCTCTCTACAGTATTTTCATCAGTTGTTTGCCTTAACGCCCAGGGCGTTGCTAACGTGACACTTCATTGGTACGAACAGAAGTTGACCTCTTAATTGCCAGCCCTCGTGAGCAGATCATTCCTGTAGTTGAAATTAGTTAAAAACGAGCTGAAACGACCGAGAGTGAGATTTATAAAAATACAGTAAATCCTGCGACAGAAAGTGTGGTATGACATGTGACATCTAGGAGCAAATGAGCCCTTGCTTCCGCAGTGGGAATAAAACGATTCCTGCCTTCAGACAGCTTTCTTTGTGAATACAAGCCGACAGTCATTAGAGGGCAGTGTTCCTCACTCAGAGCCATTTCTGTGAACACCTCCTGAAAGAACCGTGATGGACCGAGGAAGGACCCAAGAAAGGCAGAAGCTTGAGTTAAGGCACGCCAGGCCAGGCCAGGCCAGGCCGGGTAGGTAGGCAATCAGTCACCTGTATTCAAGGAACGATGCCAGGCCCAGTCCTCCTCCACCAAGGTGGTGACACTTAAGTCTGTGTCATGCTAATGTGCGGCTCCTAGGTATCTCTTTTATATGATGTCCGTTCTAAGCTGCATGTCTGTCCTGCTTGCACGGCACTCTGCAGTTGAGTGAAGGCTGTCAGCTGCATCAGAAACTGCGATCCCCATTTACTCAGTGCTGCTTCACGTTCCCAGCGCGCTTTCCACGCCACGCACGATGTGACAGCTGCAGGAGCTCTTTCCAGTGCAGTTTACATATTTTTAGAAACCAAATAAACACAGATAACTATTTAGTATACTAATTGTATTAAACCAGCAGAGATATAAGGGCAATAAAGTCTGAGCATATATATGGGGGGAGGGGAAGAGGAAAAGGAGAAGTTTACAGTCAGCCAGACAGGCGACCACCTGAGTGTGATTCTCAGTGTGTCCTCTGACTCACAGGCCCTGGGAGGACCTGAGCTGCAGCTTCTCACAGAAAATTGCCACGTTCACTGTTGGTGGGCCATAAACGTGCTTTAGTACTGCTTTGCTATGTACAAACAAAAATCTGTAATATGTATTATATGTAATTATTTTATTCTGACTTTCATTTCAAAATGTATATTTTCTGATTATTACCATGAGCTGTAAATCAAAGACTCAATGTCTGATATTCTCCCACACAATAAATTTCCAGTGTTCATCGGGGCACGAGTTGTTGCTTTCTTTCTCATGTACTTAGTATTTTAAAGTCTTATTTTATTTCCTTTAAAAGACACAGAAGAGAACAGGTCTACATGTCAAGGTCATAAAATCACGTTTTTCTAAGTGTATTGTTGACAGTTGTGCCTAAAGAGTCATGGGTGTCTCAAGGGCTAGAGACCTGGCTCAGGCGGTGGAGCGCCTGGCTAGCATCGATCCAGAATTACCTATTGCTCCATAGGTAGCCGGTTCTTACCAAACTGACCGCTTCCTAAAATCCTGACTTTGACACATTCTGTGTGCTCGTACAAATGTCTCCTGAAGATTTCTGAATGTAATTTGAATTTCAGCATGCATGTTTATCAAAACACTTATTTCCAAATCTTTGCAAATAATAAAGCCCAGAAGGAAGAGGTGGACTTCATGTTGGGGCAGAGCTTAGTGGTGGGCAGCCAATCACGTGGTCCCCCTAGGTTGGGGGCATGGCTCAGGTGGCTGAGCGCCCATCCAGCTAGCCTGAGACACTGACTTCAAACCCCAGTACCGCCAACAAAAATAATGCAGGAGCCATCACCCCCTTGTATTTGTTGAGTCCTGCCCTGTGGTAGACATTAAAGACACAGCAGTGAATACAACCCCAAATTCCCTGTGCACACTGAGTTTGTATTCTAGAAAGCAAGACAAGGATGAAGGAGGGAACAAGGTACACGGCATCCACATCACACAACAGTCAAGGAGAAAACGGCAATAGAAGTAGGAAGTATCAGGGGGGAAGGAGTGCCAGTCTACACAGGTGGCTTGAAGACACCTCTCTGAGGAGATGACAGTGGCACAGAGACTGGATGACATGTGGGCCAGGGAGCAGAGAGCAAGGTGATGTGGCCACTGCCTGGTCATCTGCAGGGTCTGTAGGGAGCTTCAGAGCCTGCAGAGGTAGCTTTGTGTTGCTAAGCAACGACTCCAAAGCTGGTCCTCCCAGCCTTCCACCTCAAGCCAGGTGGGGGGTAAGGAGCAATTATTTTAGTCCTAAATAAATGTTTTCAAATCCAAAATGCATTATGCATAATCCTCCCCAAGTCAAGTACACAGGCAAAATGTCCTTCTGTTTCCCAAAATACTGGTGAAAGGAATGACCTTCAGATCTAAAAATGTTTCATGTCACTTGGCAGCCCCTGCAAATGTAAGGCAGCTTTGTAATCTGTGGGCACACACTGTGAAGTTCAAGACCATAAACAAAAACAAGCATTGTCAATGTTCTTTGGTAAAATTAAAGGAAGCACTTTAAAAGAAGAAGAAAAGAAAGAAAAAGGTTCAAAACAGAAGGAAAGGTCCCAAACTGTAGATAGTACAGGAGGTGATCAGGCTTCTCTGTTTTATCATTGATGAAATCACAGCAAGCACTCAGATGACAAAGGGAACGATAAGGTGGACTGTTAGCAGCACAGCAGTGGAGATACAGGCTTAGTTAGCCTCAGCGTTCATGAATGGATGAAAAGAAAGAAATTGTGATGTGTGTATGTATATATAATGGAGTATTATTCACCTTTAAAAAGGAGATGCTGCCATTTGCATAAACTTGATGCTAGAGAACTCTGTGCTCACCTGTGTGGAATATAAATGTCAAATACACAGAAGCACAAGAGTGGCAGCCCGTGGGAAGTGGGAGAAGTACGTCTAAGTCACACGGCAGGAACGTCCTGCAGGAGGGCTGTGGTTAATAGTATTGACATTGAAAACAGGCTGAGGAGTTTTAGGGGCTCCCACCACACACAGAGGGAGGAGGTAAGCATAGGAGGTGATGGGTCTGTTAATTCCTCACCGGTAAGTCATTTCACTATGAATGTGACAAAAGTAAATTAGAAAGCAAAGCTGTCAAGGCAGGACACCACTAAGGAGAATTAGGACCGTGAGACATGGACACCTGGATCCCAGATCCCGTGCAGCAGGTGCTGGGGGACTTTCCAGACTTCCCCATGGTGGAGGAGTGCCCCATCTGCACATCTGCCTGAAGAGCACCCTTGCAGTCAGCCCACCATGTTCCCCGAGTCTGTTGTAGTTGGTGACAGGGCTCTTGTCAAATAGCAATGACAACGACACACTGGGACACTGGAGAATAGGACTCAGGGCTTTGTGCTTGCAAAGCAGGCACTCTACTGCTTCAGCCACACCTCCAGTCCATTTCCCTCTGGTATTTGCCCGAGCTGGCCTCAAACCACCATCCTCCTCACATGATGGGAGGCAGAACGAGCTCCCTTTGCCTCTTTTGTAATGGCACCGATGTCACTTGTGAGGGCTTCATCTGCACAATGGAAAGGCCCCCCTCCTGACCCTCACTTTGAGGGGAGGATTTCAACGTGTGAGCAACACAAGAACCTTCAGATCACAGCAGTCCCTATGGGCAGGACACTTGCCTAAAACAGAACTGTCAGTAGGTAGTAGGGTGACGTGAAGACAACTTTACCCAGTATCTTATTTTAATGCTCAGTTTCTTCCTTTTGTAGCAGCTCCAGATTTTCGAGGGAATTTTGTAGGCATCGCCTCTCTTCTCTGGCCCCCATTCTTGAAAAAGAACATGATGAAGGCAGCAGACGCGGGCTTTTCTTTCCTCTTGGGTTGGTGCGTGGTTTTTATTCTTGGGCGATTTAGAGTAAGGGAAGAGAATTTTGAGACACAGTAGATACTTAGGTTTTAAAGATACAAAGTCAACAAAATGAGTAAGCTGAATGCTTCTGAAGTGTGAGGTTAAAGCCGGAAGGGGCAACACCTGGAGATGGGCCAGCTGGAGACGGAGGGAGGGAAGCGGACTGTAGATCCGCTGCAGTGCTGCTGGCACGAAGGCAGCCTGGAGGCGTCTCTCACAGCCAGTGTGGCTGGGGTGTGCCGGGCGCACGTGTGAGTGTGTGCACATGTGGGAGTGTGCACGTGTCTGTGCACATATTGTGTGTGAGCGCATGTGTGTACATGTGTTTACAAGTATGCACATGTGTGCACATGTGGGTCTGCCCTGTGTGTGTGTGCCATGTGTGTAGGTGTGCACTGTGTGCTGTGCATGTGTGTACACATGTTTGTGTGTGTGTGGCATGCTCTGTGTGCATCTATGTGTGCATGCACACACAGGTGGAGGGAGGGAGCAGAGCTGCTGGCTCAGTCTGCTGCCTCCAAGTGCTTCTCCCCAATGGAGGCTGGAACCAGGCCTTCCTTCTCTTGATTACTGTACAAGACCCAGGATTTTTTTTGTGGCAGTAGTGGGATTTGAACTCAGGACTTCACGCTTGTGAGGTGGGTTCTCTACCACTTCAGCCACATCCCCACCCAGCCCATCCAAAGATGGGGAAATTGGGGTGGTGCATAAAATGCCAAAAATTCACTGATTGCAATTTTGATTAGAAAGAGAGCAGATGTGATATTTACTGACTTGGAATTGAGGAGAAAAGCTTTCGTTTAATTTCACTAGCATTGGTTTACCATCTACCGTCATTTCTGACAGATTTTTATTAGAAATGGTTTCTAATAGTTTAATTTTATGTTTGTTTGAACTCATTTCCTGACTCTGATACTTTTCAGAGCAAAGAAACAGTGCGGTGAAAAGTATAAACGAGTCTGG